TTTTACACGGTTTGTACGATCCATCTGGTAACGCCACATTCTGCATTAAAATTTAAAAAACCATTGAAATGGGTTTTATTATTTTTATTTGTATTTTTCACATCAACTAACAAATTGAATATTTGTACGCATTCTCCGTGTGTGTAGTATTATGTTTACTGTTTTTCCAGTGGGATCTCGACTACTGAACACCGTGTACTCGATGTAAATAATTTCAACGGTTTTTTCTGCTTAAATTCTATGTCTCAACAATAATTTAGTAACCATTTCTGAAGTGAATAACTGTGTGTGTAACTGTGTCTTTTGTTGTGTTGGCTGTGTGTAGATCAATATATAAATTTAAAACAATTACAGCGACAACATTAAAGATATTCCAAGCTGTTGAAGTTTGTTTTTTTTTTTTTTTGTGTTTTATAAATAATGATTAGATCATGGTTTAACATTAATAATAATGTCTAATTACGAAGCATAGAGACAGCAAACGGTTTTTGGTAATTTAAATCTGATTCGTTTGTGCGCCAGACACAAATTCCGAAAGTAAAGGGTTGTTGACGAACACGTGCACCGCCGCCTCCTTTGTTTTTATTTTGGATCTTCCCCCTCGTCCAGCTCCAATCTCTCTCCTCTCCAAGATCCAGATCTCAAATCAGATGGGGGTTGGTGGTTGGCTGGTGGTGTGGTTGGAATTAAGAAGTGTCCTTGCTGCGCTTACTGCGGCTTCCGGAAGGACTTGCCGGCGAACTTGACGCCGGCGCCGATCTCCTCCTCGATGCGCAGGATCTGGTTGTACTTGGCCAGACGCTCCGAGCGGCACGGGGCACCGGTCTTGATCTGGCCAGTGGACAGACCCACGACCAGGTCGCCGATGAACGAGTCCTCGGTCTCGCCGGAACGGTGAGAGACCATGGTGCCCCAGCCGTTCTTCTTGGCCAGCAGATGGGCGGCAATCGACTCGGTGACGGTGCCGATCTGGTTGACCTTCAGTAGCAGGCAGTTGCAGGCCTTCTTCTCCACGGCGGTGGCAATGCGCTTGGGATTGGTCACCGTCAGATCGTCGCCCACAATCTGGATGGTGGTGGAGCCGGTCAGGTTGGTCCAGGCCTCCCAGTGGTCCTGATCGAACGGATCCTCGATGGAGACAATGGGGAAGTCCTTGATGAACTCCTGATACATGTTGGCCAACTTGTCGGCCGGCAGCCACTGCGACTTGTCGCTCTTCTCGTTCTTGAAGTCCAGATCGTACTGGCCATCCTTGTAGAACTCGGAGGCAGCCACATCCATGCCGATCTCGATCTTGCCGGTGTAGCCGGCCTTGGCAATGGCATCGGTGATCAGGCAGAGGGCCTCCTTGTTCGACTGAATGTTGGGGGCGAAGCCACCCTCATCGCCCACGGCGGTGGCGTCCAGACCGAACTTGGCCTTGATCACGTTCTTCAGGTGGTGGTACACCTCGGAGCCCATCTTCATGGCCTCGGTGAAGGTGGTGGCGCCGGTGGGCAGGATCATGAACTCCTGCATGGCCAGCTTGTTGCCGGCATGGCTGCCGCCGTTGATCACATTGAAGGCGGGCACCGGCAGGATGATCTCCTTGTTGCCAGCCAGATCGGCAATGTGTTTGTACAGCGGCACACTCTTCTTGGCCGCTCCAGCCTTGGCCACGGCCAGCGAAACACCCAGAATGGCATTGGCTCCGAACTTGCTCTTGTTCTCGGTGCCGTCCAGCTTCAGCATGAAGTTGTCGATCGCCGCCTGGTCGACCACATCCAGATTGGCCTTGATCAGCTCGGGTCCCAGCGTGTCGTTGACATGGCCCACAGCCTTCAGCACCGACTTGCCGTGGTAGTTGGCCTTGTCGTTGTCGCGCAGCTCCAGAGCCTCGTGGACGCCGGTGGAGGCACCAGAGGGCACGGCGGCACGGAACAGTCCCAGGTCGGTGGTCAGGTCGACCTCCACGGTGGGGTTGCCACGGGAGTCGAAGATCTGACGGGCCTTGATCGCTTTGATGGTCATCTCGTTGCTGGCACTGCAAAAACCAAAGTTCACAAATAAAGTAAATTAGCAACGATTATCTATTGTTTTAATCTAGGCATGGTTTCAAGAAAAACACAAACAGCTAACCGCAGATAAGGGCATTCAAAATTGGCACTGGTTGTACTCCAGAATATTCCCGAAATTCCAGCCATTTTTGATCTTAATAACCACTTAATTATTACGATATTCCTTAATTAATCGTAATAAGACTACTATGTTAGGAAATTTAATAAGGGAACTTGGTTCATCTCAATTAAAAATTTTTATTTAAAATAATAATGAAACATCCAAAAAATGTTGAAATAATTGTAAAAAGTTAGTAGGAAATTACAAATTCATACGAATCCTATTTATTTCGACTAAACTATTATTTTAAAATGTTATTTTGCCCAAAAAGTTTGTTTTACATTTACAAATATTTTTTTTTCATACTCAAATAGTATTTGTAAACTATATTTATTATATTTAAACGAATTTGTTCGTAAAATAAAGAGATGTAACAATCAAAGTTTAATTTTGAAATTTGTAAAGTATATGTGCATAATTTTCAAATGATAGGTAAACAACCCTAAAAGGATGCAACTAAATAATAAAACTGATAAAAAATGTTTTATTTATAACCAATTTATTTTCACACAAAATTAATATTTGTTCAAAACAGCTATTACAACATCCATATTCGGATACTATTACAGGTAAATTGGTGAACTGTTAAATTAAAATAACAATAAATAAATTAAAAAATTAAATTTTACATAAAATAGGCTTTAAATTGTTTGTTATACAAAGTATTATTGTAAATAATCTGAATTAAGATAGCTTGCAATATGTATGACGAGTGGTGTAACAAAATTTACTGCCGTCTTTTGAGTGACTTTCTCCATGGAATTTTCTGGCAAAGTCTCACCTCTTGTTTCTATATTTAATTTGTCTTCAGATTTCAATTAATTATTTCTAAAATTATTTAAAGTCACTGACACCCGCGGCATTTCCTGCAAACGAAAATAAAACCGCTTTTCCGTCGTCTCAGTGGGAGAGTTTTTTTTCAGTTTTCTCTCGGCGAACAACCGAATGACCTCTAAGCTGCTTTTAAAGGTCAAACCCAAAGTGAGGCAAACTGCAAAGCCGGAATAAGTGCAAATGTTGCGAAAAAACGAAAGTATTTATTTTTATTTTCGATATGACAATTAGTTGTCGACTGATATTATTTGTTTTGTGCAATTACATTGATTGGAAATGTCGCAGAAATGGCCCCACTTGAAAATTTGCACAGCACAAAATTTGTTAGATAATCGCAAAGAAATTAGAGGTAAGAAAGTGTTCAATTTTAAAGGTTTTAATTAGGGTTAATCAAACTGCACTTTCCAGATAAAAAAATTAAATATTTTACTAAGCTGGAGCCATGCACACACACTCAATTCACACTGATACATACCAAGTACTTTTACTGAACTGCTGAAAATTAAATCCAGATGAGAGCTGGCTGGCTGCTAATTTGCTTCTGAAAGCGACTGAAATCGCTGAGAAAACGCTCGCCGATTTTTCGCTGCCCGTTCGCGATGATAGAATTTTGGGGAGAGCGCGGAGCGTCCGAATCTGCGCCATTGTGTTGAACTTGGGGAGCGGCTGCGAGAACTGCAAAAAATATCGATTAAATCAAAAATATATTTATATATATATTTTTTTTTAATAAATAATAGAATCTTAATATGGTGAAATACAATAAGTTTTTCAGTTAATAAATCTTTTTTTTAAATGGTATGAACAAATATAAAAGAAGGATTCTAGAATCTGAAAATGGTGAAATGTCATTATTATGTGAGATTAATTAAAGTCCTTTCAAAATGTAATGAAAAAATATAAAAAAAAGGATATTTTCAAGAATCTGCAAATGGTGAAATGACATAATATTTTAGGTTAACAAAGATCTTTCAAAATTTAAAGATAAAAAATTAGGTGTTTAAGAATCAGAAAATTTTAATTTCTATCTAAACCTGAATTTGGATTTTTTAAGACATTAAAACTATTTAATTACAAAAAATAAAAGTTTCATCGATATCTTTAGTAGATAACCCACCTCTATGGTGAGAGTGGGCGAGAGAGCTACTTACTTTTACTCTCCTTAATATGTATGCGTTTCCAGGTGCTCGCCGGTTTTTATTGTGATTGTGGGGGTGCGTTTTCCCTTAGTTGTTGTATTTATTGGAATATTTCCTATATTTTTTTGGGGAAAAGTGACCTTCGCACAAGGTTAGAGGCATTGGCATCCACATACAACCGTGGATTGCATGTCTAACTAAAAGAGAGCAAGAAATTATGAGAAAGTTAATTGTCAATTAAAGCATAAACAATCAAATGACGGGAAAGGAGAAATACTGAAAGTCCATGTTAATACATCCTATGTAGGTTTCTGGACACTCGGTCATTCAAAGTCACATACTTTGTGTTATTCAAGCTTTTTTAGCTGCCATAAATTAGAGGAAACAAATGCAAAGGCGGTTTTAACAAAACGTACGATTGTGTTTATAGCAGCACATCTGATGTGGATACAATTGTATATATGTACATATGTTAGTTGGTATCCCATCCCTCCCACTCAATGTTGAAACTTATAAATTCGAATAATCTCGGTTAATGATAAATTAAATTCAAAAACCATAACATATTTGTTTAATTTTTGAATAAACCTGATATTAATAAAATTAGTTAAGCCCTAAAATAAATAAAGGATTTGACTAGTTTACATTTAACAATTGATCTTATGCCAAAAATATGTTTTCACTTTTACTTTTAAAATAAATTATAGACAGTTTTTTAAATAATAAACATCCAAAGATAAAGGTCGCAAACTTAAAATTTTAAATTGGTTATTTATTAACGTTTAAAAACTTATTAAAGTGTAAGGTTTACAGAAGCAAACCAACTGTTGGCCAACATATGTAAAATCAAGCTGTTAACTGCAAGCTGCCAGGGCTACCAAAGGACAGTGTTGGCTAACTTCTCAACTTCGCATATGTTTTGAACGAACACACGCGGATTTTTTGTTTGGATTGGAGTTCTCTTAAAACTCGGAAAATGACTTCAACCAGCACAATAGTGATGCCCGGAGATCGGATAGCGGCCATTGAGGAGTTGGCCAAGAGCAAGCGTGTGATTTTGGGACCAGGACTGCGGCGACAGGACGAAACAGTGGTGGCCAGCAAGGCGGGACCGCTGCGTCACAAGGAACCCTCTACTTTTTGGGTGGACAACTACCAAAGGCGATATATTCCCGCTCGCGGAGATCTAGTCCTTGGCATAGTGCGTTCCAAGGCGGGAGATCTGTACCGGGTGGACATCGGAGCAGCGGACACGGCATCCATCTCCTATCTAGCCTTCGAGGCGGCCACCAAAAAGAATCGTCCGGATTTGAATCCCGGCGATCTGATCTACGCCAGAGTTTTGAATGCCAGTGCGGACATAGAACCGGAATTGATTTGCGTCAATTCCGTGGGCAAACGTGGCAAACTGGGCCTCCTCGCCGAGGGATTCTTCTTCAAGTGCAGCCTGAATCTGGGCAGGATGCTCCTCAGGGAAAACTGCCCTGTCCTGGCGGCTCTGACCCGGGAATTGCCCTACGAGATTGCCATCGGCGTCAACGGGAGAATCTGGCTGAAGGCCCATTCCCTGCGAGAAACCATCGCCCTGGCCAATGCCATTGTGGCCCTGGAGCAAGCGGGCTACACGGAAATCGACAAGATCTGCGACAATCTGGGCGACTTCCTGCAGGCTTAGGACTTAATTCTTAGTTTACTTACATTGTATATTAAAAGAAACTTAAAGCTACCAAAATGTTTAGGTTGATTTTTATATGCGAGTGTTGGCGCAAAGGTGGAGTGTTGGGTAGACTCAATTCGTTTACGTAAATAAAACTATCAGTGATGAGCAAACAAAACAGCTTTTAGTCGTAATGCGACTATATATATCTCCATGTTCTATATGTAACATATTACTTTTTAATGCAATTCAAAAGATTGTTTTATGATTGATTCTTGTAAAGAAAGCAATAAGGAAGTTAATAAACATTGTATAAGTAAAAAGAATTTTAAACGATTTCTTTTAAGATTTGTAGGTTTTTAACTGAGCAGGTTAGTAATATGGAATAGGCAGTATCTTAAACTCTAAACTGTACCAATTAAGAGAAGGGAGAAATGGGTCTAGCATAAAACAATCTATTATTACTAAATCTAGGATATTGTTTGCAGTTAAAAAGTCTGCTTGAAATAAAAATGTGTTTAAATCTAAAAATAGGGTACATAAATATTGAAATTTAAAAATATGTAGGTACTTTAAAAATCTCAAATAAATTTCAGATGGCAGTGGTTTAGTAGTTGGTGATTACTTACCTACTCCACAGTCACTGCGCCATCTCTGATGCTCAGCAACAGCTGATCGGAGGAACCCACTTTTCGGAGATTTTTCTGATAGGCGAGAACCCGCTTTCAGTGTCTTCCGTTGCGGCAGAGGATAAAGATTTCTCCGACCGAGCCAGAGCCTAGTCCAAATCCGAATCGAGATGTCCTTCCTGGAGTTTCTGCTGCTCCTGTTGGTGGTCTACTACGTGGGCTATGTGCTCCTCTGGATCCTGCTCGACTGCAATGTGGCCCTGTGGTACAAGTCCCGCTTCGGAGTCTCCTTGTCGTCGATGCGCGGCCAGGTGGTTTGGATAACAGGTGCCTCGAGTGGAATTGGCCGAGCATTGGCGCACAGTCTGGCCAAACATGGCGTGAAACTGGTGCTAAGTGCACGCAGGGTGGAACAGCTGGAGGAGGTGCAAGAGGAGTGTCTGGCTGCGGCCAAGGGACTACTGGCCACCAAGGATGTCCTGGTCGTACCCATGGACATGCTGGATATAGATGAGCATGGAACGCATTTGAACACGGTGCTCAATCACTTCCATCGACTGGATGTCCTCGTGAACAATGCCGGCAGATCGCAGCGAGCCAGTTGGACCGAAATCGAGATCGAGGTGGATCGGGAGCTCTTCGAACTGGACGTCTTCGCCGTGGTCCATCTCAGCCGCCTGGTGGTTCGCTACTACGTGGAGCAGAACGGTGGCAGAGGTCACATCGCCGCCACATCCAGCATAGCTGGCTTCAGTCCGGTGCCATTCTCGGCCACCTATTGTGCCGCCAAGCATGCTCTGAACGCCTATCTGCTTTCCCTGAAGGTGGAAATGCGCAAGCTGGACATCAGCATCTTTGCCCCGGGACCCATTGCCACGGACTTCCTGCAGGAGGCCTTCACGGGATCACAGGGCGGAAAAGTGGGCATGAGTACGGCCAATCAGAAACGCATGACTGCCCAGAGATGTGGCGACCTATTCGCCGTGGCCTTGGCCAATAAGATGGATCTCACCTGGTGTGGTCTATTTCCGGTCAATCTATTGGCCTACTGCGCCAGGAATCCCACGTTGACCAAGATACTGGGTCAGTTCATGACCGAGAAGACGCTGAACAAGATTCGCGAGGGTAAACTATGAGAAGATCTCTCGTTCTAAGCCCTCTCCCTCCTCTTACTCCGCCAAGTGGTTCTCAGTCAACTTTTATACTATTGTACAATGTTTAACTATGTAAAAAAGTGTATAAATATGTACACAAGATTAAGTTGAGTGTGCGTTTTGATTGCGATAACCTGGGCGGGCACAGTGGTATTGAAAATTGTGGTAAGTTGATAATGAAATATTTGTTCTGCTAATCTTGGGTTAAACAAATCTAAAGCTTAATCTGCTGAATTCTAGAATGATCATATTGATCATTTTCTAATCTATTTAAACAGCTCAACTCATTAAAAAGTTATTATAAACCAATAATTTATAGTTATGAGAACTAGTTTAACTGCTTTAACATATTAATGTTCTTGTAAATTGAAGGTAACGACTTAATTATTTACACGTTCTACCCATTAACAATATATGTCTTTTTAACGACACTGCTGCAATTTACTTTTCTTTATCGTATATTTATCTAGCAAAGTAAACCTAATCTTTTCCTAACGCTGCCTTGACATGAGCGGGTATCTTGACCCTTTTCCGCTTCGCCTTGGTTATGGCGGTCTGTTCCACCCCCTTGAGTGTTGGTTTAGCCTTCTCCTTTTTACTCTTTTTGCAGGACAAGGGATTGGGGTTCTTGGGTCCTTTGGCTTTCTTGGGTTTGACAGTAGTTTCAGCTGGCTTTAGTCCCTGTTTCTCCTTCATGTAGTCGATTCTCTCGACCTGCTTGCCCAGCATTAAGTTCTTGGCGCGTCTTTGTACCCACTTTTTGGATGCTTTCGAGGGGGCTTCCAAGACGGGCGTGGCTTTGTGCAGGTACAGTAGACAACGACCGGGAATCTTGCGAAGACTCTCCTGCAGCAGACGATCCTGCGAGGCCACTATATAGCGATTGTCCTTGGTCTGCAAAAAAATAGGTTGAGGTATTAAGTAAGGTGCTTCAGAATTTGCAATTCTAATTCCGTATTTTAGCCATTATTTACCATAGTTTTAATGCATTCTGCGGCAGCCACTGGTTTTCCCTCGTGTCCGCATTTGTGGACATGGAACCGCTTGACAATGGACGTGGCTCCAGTTAGAGGACCTCCCAAGGATTCCGCCTCCAGGATAACACACTGGGTGGTCAGTAGCTTAACGCCGCATTGAAAGTACTTCCTGATCTGCTCATCTATGCCAATTTTTTGCTAAAAATAAAACAATTCTTTAGAAATCAACTAGTTTTGTTGTGGTAAAAAACCCACCTGTAGCGCTGCCTGGCAAAAGGTGGCATCAATAAGCACCTGATAGGGTTCCCGGTAGTCAAAATTGGTGGCAAAAAACACCAACGTTTTGTGGGACTTCTTAAATCGAGATATTTTCATGATAATTTGTTATATTTACTAGATTTCCGAATAAAAACAAAAACAGCGTGCCAGGGCAGTGTTGTATAGCGTCAAAGCTCAGCTGTTTTTAGTTAACAGCTCGAGTGCGCCTAACAGCACTATTAAGCTAACAGAGTGCCGTTATGCCAATTCAAAATACAACAAATTTAACATTTGGCGCCCTTTCAGAGAATGCATTTTCAACCCTCTTAAAAGAAAATCACCCCCCTCTCTCTTTACCAGTTATTAAGCGTTTTGTTTTCATTTCCTCGTATATAGTTAGTTGTTTCCGCTGCAGTTGCACGCGCATCAAGTAGCGCTAAGGTAAAACTTATAGTTTATGCGCAATAGTGTTATTTTATACTAAAAGTGTTTTGTGAACGTGAAAGTCATTAGTTACCACAAGTCAGTGGGGAAAGCCTTAATGATTAAGGCAATTAACTAGGAAAATATATATAAATATATATTTCTGTGAGGACTTTTGAACTTTTCTGATACGTACCATATAGAATGCCATATTTATAGAAATACCGGAATATTTTACGATGTAAATACGACAATAGTGCCACTTACAATTTCAACACTTCGGTTTTCTTTTGTTTGTTTTTGTTTACGGCGCAAAAAAAGTTTTCCTCTTACCCTCTTTTGTTTTTCTATTTTTCCCAATCACTTACTTTACCCACTAACCCTCATTTGTTTTTCCTCTTTGGTCATTTTCTTCTTGTTTTTCTTTAATCTGCTCAATTGGCATTCAATTCGTGAACTTTTTTGCTAATCATGCTGATTGGTTTTACTCGAGGGTCTTGAGTTTAAGTTTTTGTATTTTTTTACACTTGGCAAAAAAAATAAAATAGTGGTGAAAAGATTGATTTTAATATTTGAAACAAACATTTTAAAGTGCAAAAATATGTTGTACAAAGATTGATTTTATTTTATCAAACAAACTAATTAAAGTGCAAAAAAGGAAATTTTATATCTTTAGTTTTAAATTTTTTCATATGGTCCAAAAATAAATTTTTTTAATATTGCCTAATAAAGTTTTTAATATTTTAATATATATAACAAAATAAGAATATATTTTATAATTTAAAATACCGTTTAAAATCGTTGTGAATCACACATATTTTCTCCGCTTCGTTTTTCCATGCACGATAAAGAATATTGGTCAAGTTTGCCTATTAATGCCATAATGCCATGTCGATAAAGCCGCCAGTTGCAGCAGCTGTGTGATCCAGTATTGTTTTTCCTTGCTTTTCCAGCATATTAATCTCCGAAGGTCGGACTTGGGGTATTGACAGCTGTCGTCGACTGAAGGTTGTGAATCGTGGGTGCAACCACCTCGGGGATCTGGGTTCTGGGGATCTGCGGATGGATCATCATCCATCTTTCCACGTCTTCACTTTACAGTTTACTGCTGCAGTTTATTCAACCTTCAAGACAATGAAATGACCAAAAGCATAGAATTATTCATATGCAAATGAAGTTGCGTGTACTCATATTCCTTTCGGAACACACCTTTCGCTATAGGAAAAATTGGATTTATTATGAAGTACTGTCATGTCCCGCGTGTCTGGCATTTTGATTTGGCCTCTCTCCTTCTTTCGCTGTGTTTCCGGTGGGTTTTTCGGCCTTTATCATATTATTTGTTTTTTTTTCGCTTTATTTTGCGTGGGTTGAAAGAAAGTGACGCATTATAAAAAACCTCCAAAAAGGGGAGTTGGTTAGGGGAGGTAGAAATAGGTGGTTGTGGAAAGAACCCACAATTCGCATTGTGTTGAGCTAAAAAATACATAGTTCCGAGAAATTTGGTTTGGGGGAAGCACTAAACAGAAATTGATTTGTCGTGATAAAGGTTATGTGAGGTTTATCACTCTTTAGATATCGCTTATATTTAAATTTAACCTTCATTTTTATTTATATAAAATAAGATTATAAAACAGAGTAATTAATTAATTCATTTCAGTATTTCTTGATTTGTTTTAAGCTTTGTATTAAAATGATACAACTAGAGAGAAAAGTTGAAGCCCATAAAAAATGTTTAAACTCATAGGGGCACATTTTTAGTTACCAAACTTTTGATAGAATTACGTAATACATATATCATAAAACTTTTTAATGAAAGTTATAAAAAAGGTCTTCCTAAGTTTAGGCTTTAAAGCGTACGATACCTAAAAGGGTAGTTAAAAATGAATGTGTTGAATGAATTTTGGTCTTCATTACATAACAATCCATGGGTACGTTTAGTTGTGATCTCATATGCGTTTCAAAGCACCCATCTCCAAGCAGTGAGCTATGTACATAACATCAGCATATCAGCTCAGATAATTCATTCAATTGTGGTCTACGTTACCATCGTCACGATTACCGTAGAATCCGCGATTCCAGCAAATTGGGAGTGGGAGCAGACCAAATTGCCAAGTAGCCAAGTAGCCGCCGTCTCACTTAATAAACTTATTCATTCATTGATCCATTCACATTTGTCTAACGTCACGCCAATCCGGATCCCTTCTGTCCCGCCCCTTTTGTTGCAGTGTATGCATGTCAATCAGGCTGAGAAACGAAATCCAGACTTCTGTCTCCGATTCCTTACCCCTTTCGATCCCCTCAAGAGCCTTAATTAGCTGCCAAATGGTGTTTGCTGTGCATTTGGTACGTAAGCCGATTTGGTTCTGTCTATATCTCTCTTTACTTATACATATATATTTATATATATATATATATATATATATATATATATATATATATATATATAAATATTTAAGGTGGCTTTGGGTGTGTGCCTCTCATTAGCAAAACATTTGGCGTCCAAAGTGGACTTTTAATAATGCGATTTTATTTTCTTGCGATTTCTGGCCCGGCATAAAGAAAGACTTCTCATGTTCGTTTGTTTATTATTGTTTGCCTTTCACAAATTTTTCAGATTAATTTGTTAATATTGCTATCAGCTTGGAATATTTTTTGTCGAACTGAAAAAAGTGTCGCCTCGATCGAGTATTTCCTAGTATGCAAAAAAAAAGCTGATCTTGAACCTAGATTGAACCCTTGTTTAGAACGTTTTTTTTACCGATTTATGAGGGAATCGGTGCACTTGTCACATGCGAAAGCACCGTGTCGCGTTGTTATGATTTATATAAATATTTAGTAAAAGTTGAGATTATATATAAAGCTCTTTAAGTACACCCAAAAGTTTACGAAGCAAATGGGACACGCGATCTCTAATCAGTTGGCCAGACATATAGCACGACTCATCTTTATCATCATTGTCATCATCTTCAACGTGATCTCCTGCTTACGTAGTTTCAAATCAGTCAACAAACCGTAATTTGTTTTTAAGATAACACAGTTTTTCATATTAGAATAACTTTATTATTAAAAAATATAAATTAGCAAGATTCCAGATTAGATATATGGGTTAAGAATAGAGATATGTAGAACTTAACTAATTAACATAATATGTGTACGTGCCAAATGAAATTTGAAATGTGTCTGCGAATTTAGTTTTGTTAGAAAAGTTGTTTATAAACAACTGTCTCGAAAACATACACATATGCTCACAAACTATTTGTAAACAATATTTGTACACACATGAATATCAAATTTTGATTAAATGTTTGTAAATAGTTTTGTTGGGATATATAAAATTCAATGTTTATATTAAATAATTATTTTAAATGACTCAAATTTGTCTATGCTGATAAGGCAGCTTAATAACTAGTAAATATTATAAATAACTAATTGGTCTAATTGGTTTAAG